TATTATGAGCCATAAGTTATTCGTATATTTTGCAGGAACAGACATCGCGCCGCTGAAGTTCACAGGGTGTCCGCGGGGTTTTAAAAAGTATTAAAAGGTGATAAATCAAAATTGCCAAATTTAAGGCCATTAAAAGTGTTAAATTTGGTTTTATAGTTATTATTTTTAACAAAATAGGTATTATTTTTTCAGACAATGAGGTTTCCTATTTTGAGTTAATTTCTATCTGCGTTTGCGTTAGTTCATTTAAATGTAGGCTTTAGCGCAGGGGTCGGGAACCTATGGCTCGCGAGCCAGATGTGGCTCTTTTGATGGCTGCATCTGGCTCGCAGACAAATCTTTAATCAAAAAAATTATAACGTTAAAAATATAAAACATTCTCATGTATTTCAATCCATTCATTTCCTACCGCTCATATTCATGGTTGCGGGTGACTGGAGCCAATCACAGCTGTCCTCCAGGACAATACCAAATTTTTATTGGATAATGCGTAACGTACACATAATATGTAACACGTAACGTAAACCATGCAGCACCAGAAGTCGCATTAATGGTAAGAAGTACTTTATTCGTCATTGGTTAGCAAAAGCTTAACAACTATATTAAAAAGAATTCAGAAACTTATTGTACTTTAAGTGTTGGTCTTACATAAAATGCACACATTTAGTTTTAAACATATTGTATGGCTCTCATGGGAATTACATTTTAAAATATGTGGCGTTCATGGCTCTCTCAGCCAAAAAGGTTCCCAACCCCTGCTTTAGCGTTTCTGGGCATATAATCAAATATCCTCAGCTCAATGCTGAAGTCTCTTCTTCTTCTGTTGATTTTATTGGCGGTTTACAAACGGTGTGTACTACCGCCATCTACCGGGTTGAGGTGTAGGCTACGTTTGATGCTGACACCATATTCAGTGGTCGTTCGACATCTCAAGACACTTTTCGCGCTCAGCTCAATCAAAGATCATTGGTTTTGACCCTCTCTGGCTCAACTGGAAAGTCAACTGGCTGGCTTACGTTTTTGACTTGCTTAGGCATATGTTCAACCTCCAGACAACAGCGTTGTCATGGGAAAATGCAAGTTTTCGCACAGCTGGGTGGAAGACCCTGCATTTAAGGACTGGCTCAGGCCTGTAGTAGGGAATAACCGGCAGGCTTGTTGTTCGGTTTGTAAAAAAAACATCAATGTCAACTGGATGGGAGCTAACGCACTTCGGTCGCATATGCAATCCACTAAACATAAAAATGGAATGCGCGGTCGAGGGCAGTTAACTCTACCGCTCTCAACTTTCTGTGCACCACCACTGCAAGCTAGTGCTACGGTACAAGCCAACGTTACAGCTCCAGCAACTACGTCTGACATTCGTGTGATTATGGGTGCCACACCAACATTGCGCGCGGAGGCCCTGTGATGTCTAAATACTGCAGTTAAACATCACTCATTGAACTCCAACGAAGGAATTGCGGAGCTATTTAAAGAAATGTTCCCTGACTCTGACATCGCAAAGTCATTCATGTGTGGTAAAGACAAAACCGGTTACATCATCAGATTTGGATTAGCATCATTCTTCAAAAAACAGCTTGTTGATGGCATCAACAAGGCTGGGCCATTCGTGTTGATGTTTGATGAGAGCCTCAATCAGGCATCAAAAAAAAAACAGCTTGACATCCATGTTCGATACTGGGAGGATGGCCGTGTCCAATCCAGATATTTTGGATCTCAGTTCTTGGGACAAGGAAGGGCCGAAGATTTGTTGCATCACATCAAGGTAAGTTAATATTCTTTTTTTTTCTTATTTATTCACAAAGATGCTATGTATAGGACAATATTGGTAAATTTATTTTTGGCTACACAAAAGGTTTAAATTGGCCAAAGGCCTGCAGCTACTTGAATGAAAGCTGAGTAGTAAGCTGAGATGGTTTTAGTATTTTTTTAAGTTCAATAACCTATCAGTTATAGAAATGTAGTATTTGGCTCAAGATTTGATATTGGAAAAAATCATTTCATTGCTAAAATACCAACTAATAATAGAAATCAAATGTGTATGCAGTAATGCTTCTCCTTACCCCCAAGTGCCAAGCTTTGTGAATGCTGAGATCTATTTTACTGTATTTGAATGATAATGGTTAACAGACTTTCTCCTGTGTCAATTCACAGGAATGTGTCACACAACTGAATATGAGGGAACTACTATCAGTTGGCATGAATGGCCCCAATGTGAATTTCAAGTTGTTGGATCTTCTCCAGAAAGAGCATGCAGAGCTCTATGGAGGTGCTCAGGTTGTCACTGTTGGAAGCTGTGGACTTCACACCCTCCACAATGCTTTAAAGGCAGGCTTTACTATGTGGCAGTTGGAAAACTTCTGCGAGCCATGCACTTCCTCTTTCATAATGTTCCTGCCAGGAGGGAAGACTTCACTAACCTGACAGGGTCCTCTTGCTTTCCCTTACCATTTTGTGGCCATAGATGGGTTGAAAATGTTCCTGTGGCAGAAAGAGCAGTTGAACTTTGGCCAGTGCTTAAGACGTATGTGGATGCTGCAGAGAAAAAGAGGGTTCCAGTTCCCTGTACAGCCTCATATGACACCATTGTAGCAGCACAAAAGGATCTTTTCATTATTGCAAAACTCCAGTTCTTTCTGGCAATTGCAAGGACTTTCAACCCCTTCTTGACAAAGTTCCAAACTGATGAGCCAGTGTTGCCCTTCTTGGCCAAAAAGTTGACTGAGCTTCTGATGGTAATGATCACTGTAAATATTTTATATAATTGATTGCATTTGTTGAACCTGTATGTAAATAGCTTGCTTGTTTTGCCATTTTAAGAGTTTACTGAGGCGGTTTGTTCAACGAGAGCTGCTCCAGGACCTCACACCCCTGCAGCTGATCAAAATAGATCTGACGGATGAAAAGAACTTGGTCTCCCCTAAGAGTGTAGACATAGGCGTGGGTGCTGAATCTGCCATCAAGGTAATTTTGATATACTTTTTTTCAGAGATGCACATGTGTTTTGGGATGCTTGCACAATGAACCTGGATGTATGTTGTAAAAAAAATTAGTAGTATTACTACTGCTACTATTATGTTTAGCCTGCTACTATAACTATTACTAATAATAAGAGAAATAAAAAGAAATGGGGATAAAAAAGTAAAACATTTATTTTCCAAAGCATTTGCAGTGAACTTTCTTTAATGTTGCTCATTTGTTAGGAACTTCAGAGCAAACCAGGATGCAAAGTTGGTGAGCTTTCTGTGCTCACCTTCAGGCGAGAGTGTTTGCAGGGCCTGGTTAAGGTGATTGTGAAGTTACAGGAGAAAAGTCCCCTGAAATTCCCAGTGGTCAGGCAGATGGCATGCCTGGATCCTGGAAAGATGCACCAAGGTCCTGATTGGTGCATCAGGCAAATGAAAAGTATAGTCCAAACATTCTTCCAGGGCAAGCAGCTGGCAGGTGGCATCCCAGCTGGTAAGAAAATATTGTATAGGGACAGGCAAAGTGCATAGGTTATTCAGACTGATTAAAGCCGTGTGTGAGAAGTCTCATTAGCAAGATGGTTTTCTGCATTCTCTTAACAGTGAGGAAGTGTCAATGCTTTATCAAATTAATATGTTAAAATTAATAAGTTCTGAAAAAGTCTTACACATTCCTAGCTCTGTGTAGATGTTATAACATGATTCTGTGATATATGTATTGTCAAATGCGTGACTACTGAATTTAAATGACCTATTTCTAAACAAGCTTAATTTCTGTGTCAATGTTTTAGGTGACGCGATCATTCAGCAATTCACGTCATTGCCGCCATGCAGTTAAGACACTTTCCATAAGATTCTTTTTCTCATTTGTTATATTAGGTCAATAGTACATGATCAAATAATAGCAGTTTGCCAGATGCCAGTTTGTAATGCATCAACAGTTCATGCAGTGAATGCCAGCCAGTGTGTTGGAACTGTCTTCGTCACACATTTTATGTAGTTTGTTTTATTTGTATCCACAAAGTGAAATAAATGTACAATATGTGGTCAACATCAGTGAGTCTGTAAATCTATTCTGTTGTATAGTGTTATATATGTCAAAATCTGTGTACACATTAGAAAGGCCGCTGATTAACACTTGCAACACCATGTCAAGATGGTTTTAAAAAAATTCTGAAGGTAGTAAAAAAGGTATTAAAAGGTATTAAATTTAACTTAAGGATTGCTGTATATACCCTGGATAAGGACCACAAAGGAATGTTGGAAGAGAAGGGGGGGTTTTTAACAAAGAAGACTCTCAAAAAGTTAGGACACATTGGTTACACTAATTTTCCAGATTCTTCTGGTATACCATGAGAACATATATACAAGGGTAGCTATGCCTATCTATTTATTTAAATTTATATGTGTTCAAGTACAAAGGGGTAAAATAGGTGATACTCCGTGAACATGGTTATAAGGGTGGCACCCAAAACACTAAGATTGTCTAAGGACACATACAAACCTACAAACCTACAAACCTAACCTATCTGTATATT